GAGTACCACAGAGGGGTGTTGTGACTCTTTCAGCTCATCAGAGGTCCACAGTGGATAATCCCTTGTTAGTTGGTCAAGGTCAGTTTGATCATTTAGTTAATGAAGTGTTGGCTGACCTTCTTCACTGTGAATTTAACATTTCCTCCTTTGTCATTTATAAGTAACTTACATAGAGCTCCTTTGAGTCTGTCTATAAACAGTGTATCTATTAGTTTTAACATTCACTGGTAATACTTGCTTGAATGAATGGTTATTATTCTGGTTGTGACTTGATAATTCACTAATTCCATCATTCTTTCCATATTTATTAGTGACATTCAAATGGTACTTTTCATTCTCTTTATTTATTTAGTTTTATGAACATGGATTCCACAATTCTTGTTTCATTCAATAGTGACTTATGTTCTATTTCCATTATTCGTTTCCTTGACACATGGATTTGGCCAGTAGGATCTGGGTATTGTATTCTTTTCACTTGTCCCCATTGTTTTTGAGTAGTTCCTTAATGTGTCACTCTTATTTGGGATTTGCTGTCACTCTCAACTGAACATATTGTTGACTAGTGTAACCAAGTCTGGGAGAATAAGGAAAAAAAAGAGGACTCTAGTGAAGTTATATTTGCCTGCCAGGGGCATGAAGTAGTCTGGCTACTTACCCAGAGAGATTAGAACACAGTGTCCTGTCCAGGCCACTGCCCTTGGCAGTATGATAGGGAAGTTCATCCATTCTCTAGCTCACCAGACACCCCAGGCTCTGCTCCTGGCCTGGGCTACATGAACACCAACATGGAGGAAGATGAGGTCCCAGGCCCTGGAAGACTGCAGCAGGATGACATGGGATAGACTTTTACCCACCAAAGCACCCTATAACTTCTCATTGTCAGGATAAATGATGCCTTTCCTCTGAAAGCTGTGCTATCTCTGCTGATTTTTCCTTCCAATGTGATGGCCACTGAATTTCTCTTTTTTTGGTTCTTCTCATTCCTCTGTATTGTAGGGACACAAAATTAATTAATAATGTACTTTGGGTCAGGACATTCTGCTATCATTGGTTTCTCCATGGCCATATCTTATTAATTAATGAACCAATAAAAATAATACAATATAACTACAGAACAATATAACAAATGTTTATAAATATAACAATTGTTTATGATATAACAAATACAACAAATGTTTGGTTTGACATATGTAAAACATATGTCATATGACATAAACATATGACAAATGTTTATGAATTACGTGTCCTAATGACACTCTGAACACTGACAATTACTCACCCTTATCTGTGATTCTCCTGTGCCAACTACTGTCCTGAATCATGGCATCTTTATTTTCTTGCTTCTATTTTTATAATTTTTATCAAACCTATATTTTCCCACAAATTATCATTTCATAGTTTAAGTTTTTAAAAGGTTATGCCAAGATATTATGCCATGTATAACTGTCACGATTTGGATTTTAAACCTCCCTTCACCCAGCTTGTGTGCTTTGGGCATAGTTACCAGCCTGTGGCACTACTGGAAGTTGGTGCCACCTTTAGGAGACATTAATGGTGGAAGGAAGTGAGTCACAAGAGTTGTGTCTTTGAGGGGGATACTGCGATTCAGCTTCTTTTCCTCTCTGTTTACGTCCTGGCTGCCATGAGGTGACCAGGCCCCCTTTGCCACATGCTTCTGCCTTTGCATACTATTCCACAAAGGCCAAGTGATCAAGGCCTGAAACTTCTTGAAACCATGAATCAAAATAATCTTTTGTTCCTTATAAGTTGTTTATCTCAGGTATTTTGACAGAGTGATGGATGACTGACTAACACAGATAGAAAGACTGGGCAACACAGATATTTATAAAGACTGGGTCCTTATTTTGATGACACTCTTGCTTGTAGCTCCAGTGTGTATTTCTAAGGAGTCATCACTGAGGACTTTGCCTCCCGTTTGCATTCATACAGTGCTGCCTCCCAGGGCTTGCTGGGAACTTTGCAGCTCACAGGCACAAATGGGGAGGTCAGGATGCCTTGGAGCAAAGCTATGGGAAAGATAGGGACATGTGATATAATCTGGTTTGCTAAGCTCTCTGAAGAAGAACTTTTGCCTTTCCCATATGGACAATATTGGCCTTCTTTCTTCACACTTTAAGGTTATGCTACCCCAGGAGTCAGCTATGTGTTTAGCAGAACTCATTTCTGCACCTCTTTCTTAACCATTCCATTCCACCATAGTAAAAAGTTTCAGAGCGGAGAGAGTGGAGTGTAACACACACATGGGTGTGTGCATGTACACGAACACACTTCAACGTATCTAGCTTAAACTTCACCTTGATCGCTAACTGTCACAATTGTCTTCATTGGTCTCCCTCTTCCGTACTTTCCACTAAACACGCTGTTTTCAGCACAAGAACCAGAAGGGTCGCATCAAACCTAAATCAAATTTTTCTCTCCTCCTCACCTAAGGATTCTCAGTTCAGAGTAAAAGCTGGAGTCCCGATGATGACCACAGCCTACACAGGGGGCCCCCAGTTTCCTCACTGATCCACTCTAGCCTTCCTATTTCATAAGCGCCCATGCTAGTGCTGGCTCAGGGCCTTTGCATTGGCTGTTCCCTCAGCCTGGGGTGCTCTTTCTCCAAGACTGTGTGTCTTAGTTACTTTTCTCATTGCTGAGACAAAATATTTGACATCCAAAGTTGAAGAAGGAACAGTTTATTCAGCTTACAGTTCATACAGGTTTCAGTTCATTGTTGGCAGGGTGGTATGATAGGGGGGCATCACAGAAGAGAAACAGTTGTGGGCAGGCAGAAGGCAGCAAAACGGTGTAGTAACAGTAGTAACCAAACCTGCCTTTATATTTCACCTGCCCTTTGGGTGGTACCTCGCATACCCTGCATGGAACACTTTTAAACTCATACCCTTAATCTCAGCATCTTACACCCTAGATCTAGCCACCACTGAAAAACCCAGCCTATGACCACGCGAAGCTTTGAGATGACTTCTAGATGAAAGCCATAGAACTCTGCACGGCCCACCTCCTCTCTTCAGATTTTTGCTGCGATATTATTGCCTATGTAATCTTACCTGATGAACTATAAAAACATGTAATTTCCGATCTTTGTAACTCACTAACACTCTTGTATTTTTCCTCTATAAACCTATGACATGTTTGTAAATGTCTATGACATGTTTTTAAAGGTCAGTGTGTTTTTTAAGTTTTGTTTTTATCTGCATCTACCCATTTACACTGCTTTCCATATCTCTCCTTCCACAAAGATATAGATTTTACAGTATAAATCCACAGTACCTGAACGCTTGAAACCCAGAAAGTCCTACTACATGTAAATAAATAAACAAATAAATAAATAAATAAGTGATTTTTTTTCTATTTTCTGCAATTTCACTTTGACCTGCCTCCATGGAGGGGACTCTTTCTTTCTTTTGACTTATTATATAAGGCCTACTATCTATGATATGCCATCTGTTACTGCAGCACAAGTCTTTCCTGTATCATTTTTAAATCACTACACTATCCATTAGTGACTTTGCAGCTGGAACACAGGGTTTTCTGCATAGGGACCAGGCTGTCTCTTGCTGCTCTGTTCCCTAAACCTAACACATGCATATGGTCTCATAGGGAATTGAATGCTTAAAGGTGCCTTCTCAGAGAACTGTGGTGGGACAGAATGCCTAGTGACTATAATGCACTGCATCATTTGACAGTGATGTCCTCAGGAGACTGCACAGCATGGTGTGATTGCTTTCCAAGTGTGGTATATGTGTCACTGGACCTGTGATGATTTTAGATGCCTGATTTCTTTCTGGTTTTGTATTTTTTTAATGTATATTAGAGATTTAGCAAGCACACCAAATCTATAGTTTCGTGGATGTTATTGTTTGGAAACCCTTTCTTCTTAAAAGAAATTTTAAAACAAGGATGTCAACTTAAAGAAAATAATAATTAAGTAACAATATAGATATTATGAACTATGTTATGTTCCCCAAATTAATATGTTAAGTCTTGAAGTCTGGTACCTCAGAATGTGACTGTGGTAACAGGCTCTTTAAAGAGATGATTAAGTTAAAATGAAGTTATGATGGTGAGGTTTAATCCTACGTGTTGGTATCTTTATAGAAGAGGGGATTAGGACACAGATTTACACACAGGAAAACCCTTGTGAAGGCACAAGAAGATGCGAATCTGTAAAAAAAAGGGGGGAGGTCCCAAGATATAATTCCCATGATACACTGATCTTAGACTTCCAAGATACAGAACTGTGCACCTATAAGTTTGTTGTAGTAGTATGTTGTTTTGGTAACCCTAGCAAACTAACTTGGTAGGTGAAACTCAGATGCTGCAGAGATCATGAAAGTGGTACCCAAATGGCTTATGGATATGGCCCCAGGTAAAGACACGATCTTGAATGGAATATCAGTTTTTCCAGTTCATGGCTGTGTGACTTCCAGCAAAATCTTTGCCTTTCGGAGTCACAACGTCTGGTTTTAAAGAACAGGACTAATAGTGATCACAATGCCAAGAAGCTGTACGTGTTAAAAACAGGGTCATATGTATTATATAAATCTCCTCCTGCTTAAAAAAAAAAATGGCAGTCTTATTGTTGGAAAGCTGTCACCAAGGGGAGACAGGAAGTTGCCCTTTAACTCTGTAGTCCAGAAGCAGAGTCCAGGCTGGCAGGGCCAGTGGGTGTCAGTGAGCCCAGAACGGGCTGTGCTGTGGGTAAACCAGTAGGGGCCACTTCACTGTGAACGTGGTCCTCAAGGAACAAGGAGGGGGGCACGCTTCCCACTTTATGTCTGGGGAAACGGAGATGCACATTGCAGCAGCAACTTTTCCTGTGGCTAGATGATTTCAGCAGTGATTTGTCCTAGGACTAGTGTCAGCCCTAAATCCAGCGCTGGGATTGGCTCCTGGGCTATCCGTGGCTGCTGCCTTCTGCACTGAGAAACCGCGCGTGAAGGATGCTCCTCCCCCTCCCTCCCGCCCTCCCAGTCTGCGGGCTCCCAGGGAAGGGGAGGAGCTCTCACTGGCTCAGATGCCATCGTCACCACGGCAACACGGCCATACTGGGCCCAACGGACTGTGGGGCCTGGGGCTGTGACCCTGGTGGCCTCGTGGACAGAGCCGGCAGCATGGATAGCCTCTTTGTGGAGGAGGTGGCTGCCTCCCTGGTTAGGGAGTTCCTCAGCAGAAAGGTAATGGTTCCCCCCTCCAAAGCTCAGGCCGCGGCTCCAGTGCTGGGCGAGGGGCAGTCTGGGACTTTGCTGGCACCTTTGCATCATTAGGGTGGGAGTGTACCTGGCCCGCTGCCTGCTTTAGAGCTGCCGCTACAAGAGTGCCACTTTCCCAGGGTAGAACTACATTTCCCAGGAGCCATTTCTGTCACTGTGCTGGGCACTTCCGTGAAGCCTGTCTGGGCCCCCTGTTCCCTGCCTTTGTGAACCCTCTGCTCTCCGGAGTGGTGGGCAGCAGTCATCAGGGGCGGGGTCTCCAGTGCGGAGCCCGGTGTTCCTGGTTCTGGGCATGGCAGGTAGGCTGCAGCCCGAGCTGGGTTAGCGGCCTCCATGGTCATTTGCCCCCGGTCTCTGGGAAAGGACTACTGGAGTCCAAAGATCTGAGAAAAGTTCTCGAGAGTCAAACTTTAGTCATTTTAGTCAACAATGGGAGTTCCTGTTATAGTACTAATTTTTTTGTAGGAGAAATTTGAAAATTCATATTTTGTTTTGTCCCAAGAGATACTTTAAAATGTTTGCACTGCCCTGGCAGTGATGGGGACCTATGTGTGGAAGGGGCTGGGAGCACAGACAGGAAGGTTCCAGGAATCACCCATTTATTTATGTGATGAGAAGTACCGAAGGGCTATGCACTCTGTGTCTGTTTCTGTGTGATGTACTGTTGAGCTGGGCAAGGGACACTTGTCTGGGGTTGCAACTCCCTATCTCCCACACCAAATTCATACAACTTTTTGAACAGAGAGTTTGGATGGAGAAGGTTCAAATATTTGTTCCTAGTTTGCAGTGTAAAAGCATAAGCTTCCACATGTTACTCACTGCCTTAATCTCCTAATCTGTAAAACAGGAAATATCAGACTCACCTTTTGCAGATTTGAAGTGAGTGTTAATAATAACACAGAAGATGAGTAGCTTCCAGGCATTCTGTGCACACAGTTATTAGCTTTTTACCTGCTTCCTCGTCTCTGACATACACCTGTTTTGAAAGTGCTTTTGTATGCTTTTTTACATTTTATTTATTTATTTTTTGTGGTAAGAGAATTGACCCTGTATCTATTTATAGACATAGATTTATTTATTTTTTGTGGTAAGGGAACTGACCCTATATCAAGACCATGTATCTATTTATATTTTGTTTTTATTTAAAATGTTTTAATGCATCTGGCTTTATACCTGCTTTGACCTTCCAACACCGGGCCTGGCTGCATGTTGATCATCAGTGATACACTCTGGGAGGCTGATGGCTACCAGTATAGCTGGAACTCTGAGAGAGGGCTTTGCAGACTTCCATGGGTGCCTGACAGCATGACCCCAGCTTACCATCCCACCCTCATTTCTAGCTTCTCTTCTGTTTTTTTTTCTTTTGATCTACCCAGGCCCACCATAAGCAAGTTCCATCTCTCAGAGAGTTTCTCAAGTAACACCAGCCCAAGTGGTCCTTGACTCATCTTATCTCTGTGTGTTCATTGGTGCTTATGGTATAGTTAATGCATCTGCCTGTGTCACTTTCCACATGGGGCCCCAGAACTGGCCCCTGAATCTGGTGGTACCCTGGAAGGTGGCTAATCCCCTTGGCCTCCTCTGCTCCTGTGCTTCATCTTCATACATTAAGGTCTTGAGAGTAGAAAGGAGTGGCCCAAGTCACTCAGCAAGCCGTGGAGAGCTGGGTGACCACTGACCTCACTATCTTTTGTGTGGGACTTCACATGAGCAAGTACAGTGAGAAGCAGAATTATCACCGTGGCACCAGGCACTTGCTGGATGCTGGATGCATTTTCTGGATGCTGTTTGTTCAAATCCTTTTAACTTTCCTGAGAGATACATATAATTTCATCGTTCCTTTTCATTTAGGATGATTGTGAGAACAGGAGGCCAAACAACTAGCCCAGGGTGAGCAGGCCAGATCATATCACTTCTTCTCCCAAACCCTCCACTGGCTTCCTATCACTACATGTGAGGTCCTTCAAGACCTGGCTGCCACCCTAGACCTCCTCTTCAACTGTGGCTTCCACTGTCTTTTACCTCCAGTCCCAAGGGTGTCCTTGGACTCTGCCTGCAGGTAGACTCACGAGAAGCCCCTGGTGATATCAGCGTCCAGTGACTTTTTTGATGCTTCAGCCTCTTGGTTCTGTGGTCCTTCCTTTACTGCAGTGATTTGTCCCCCATCTGACCTCTGCCACCCTTTCCTGGGGTAATGGCCTAAGCTTATACATACTAGCACTGCACCTTTTTCATGATCTCAATGCCATGCATCTCACCTTTTCTATTTCTAGCACATTCCTCTTCTGAGCCCCAGACAACTTATTCTTCAGCCTTACTTGCACATCCATCCATTGTTCCTGCCAAATTTCAGTTCCACGGCCCACGTCTTACCCACCCATTGTCATAATCACATGCTTCATAACCCGCTCCACTCTCTTGCCTATATCTTCTTCCATTATTGTCCCCACATCTGGGTAAATATCAACTCAGCCTACTTCTGCAGCCTGCCCCTGCAGAGCCGAAAGACATTGCAGGCCACCACCATCAAGCTGATGGCATCACTTTAAATCCATGGCCACTCATGCTGTGGTGTCCCAAGGGCACCTGTGTGCTTGGTTATCCAGTCCATCCTGATCCCTCTCTCAAATCCTGGTTGACTATCTCACACCTTGTCTCACCCTATCCAAAACCTCCTTCCCCATCTGAGCTCCCTGAGAAAGCAGTAGTCGTTAGAAGTGAGAAAAGTCCACAAGCTCCCACTCACAAATGTGTAAACCTTCCCTGGCCCAACCTGATCACTCCATCCCTGCTTGTGTTCCTTGGAACAATTTCTTTGTGCTGGGTCAGGCAGCCTGGTCTCTTGTTCATGTTCATCGCGTTCCTGTGCCCAGATGTTTCCCCCTCCACTGGTATATTCTTATCAGTCCACATACAGGCTCCTACAACACCCCAGCTTGATCCCCAAGCCCTATGATTATGAGTCTTTTCTTTATTATGAGTCTTTGCAGCCAAATCCCATGAAGGAGCTGTGTATACTGATTCCATCTCTGCTTCCAACTTTCTCAGATTCATTTTAATTGGGATTTTGTCCCCATTGTCTGAGGAGATCACTCTTATCAAAGTTACCATTGATCTCTAATTTTCACTTCTTGCTTTTCTTGACCTGAGAATTGTGTTTGTCATAGTTGATTATGTTCCTTTTCTTGGCTCCCAGGTGACATGTGTTTTTAGCTTTCCTTTGCCTTCTCTGGTGGCTCCTTCTCAAGGTCTTTGTTCCCTACTCCTACCCTGATTTGTGCTGTGGATGCTGGTGGACTCAAAGACTCAGTATATGGCCATTTTCCCTTCTAGTTTCCATCTGTTATTTAGACATCTCAGCCAGTTTTATGGGTTCCAGTACCATCTATCTGCAGACAATCCTAAAGTGTTTATCTCATCCTGAATTGAACTCTTTCTAACTGAGTATGCTTTATTTCCATGTGGATGTCTAATTAGCTTCCCAACCTGTCTCTGATAGTAGCTCTACTCATAATATTTCTGGCACCAAATGTGTCCCCCTGTCCTGCCCCATAGCAACCAAGTCACCTACCCTTTGCGCACCGAGTATCCTAACAACTCAGTTCTGACACTGCCTAGGGTCAGGACAGACTCTGTAGGGGCTCTTTTCCTTCTCGTGCACCTACATTCATCCATTAGCCAGTCTTGTTGGCTTTACCACCAGTTCATATACAGAAAGCAGCCCCTTCTTACCACCTCTGCCCTGGTACATGCCTCTCCTGTCTTTTGTGTAAAATGTGAGTTGTTTAGTACCCTCTAGTACCCTTTTGCTTACTCATCTCCTTCTATATTCTGTTTTCAACCTAGCAGCTGAGTGTTCTATTAAAAATATAGTAGTCCCTCACACTCCTTAAATCTTCCTGGAGTCTTTCCCACTTCACCAAAGCCTGTCTACTCCTTGTCAGGCTCTGGGTGATCATTCTGACTTCATCTCTTCTCTCTGTTCTCTGGCCATGAGGCTCTGGATGCACTGGCTCTTGTAATTGCCATAGGATCTTTGCACATGCTGTTCCTTGACTGCAACACTGCTCTCCCTAGTGTCTGTCTGGGTTGCCCCCTCATCTCCCTCATGTCTCTGCTTACAGTCACTCAATCAATGAAGCCTTTCCTGACTATCTTTTATAAAACAGCATCCATTCCCCTCACCACCTCTTTAAATCAAACTTTTTTCCCTCAGATGCAGGGTAAACAAGAGACAACTGAACCTGACTCTGTTTTCGTAGACTAGTATATGTCCCCCCCACCCAGTGTATTAGATTGGTTGTCTTTGCCTTGTAGAATGTATGCTGTAGGAGAATGGGACTTCGATGTGTTCTCTCCTCTGCATCTAGCAGTTAGACTGATAAATGAGTGCCTCATGCTCTTCAACTCACACATAGGGAAACCAGAAGACAAGAGAGCACATGTGTGATGCCAAGCAAGTAACTGTTTATCTAAAATAGTGACCTTTGTCTTTGTATTCCCTTCCCCTGTATTGTTTCCACAATAGTGCTTATTAGCAGTTGCAAGACTGTATGCTTACCATTTGATTACCCCAAAGAGTGTTAGCTCCTATTCTTTCTGTGTCCCTTACTTACATGTACAACAGAGCCTGGAACATAGTAGGTACAGGCCAAATGTTTTTGAGTGAAGACTGAGCCATCTGGATGGAGCTGAAGGCTGGTTTGACTCCCGAGAACTCCTTGTAACCTTCTCCAAGTGCTGGTATCCTTCACAGTGGGGTGTGTGTGTGTGTGTGTTAAGTGTACCGACACTTGGTGATCGAAACCGATGAACATAAAGGTATCCACCAGAGAGGGAGGATCTTCCTTATAGAACATTCCATACTACTTCTTTGGTCAGTGGGAAAGCCAGGGTTAAGCCCACGGGTGGTTGCTTTTGAGTCCTACCTCTCCTTCCAATTGACTTTCCTCAATGTACCTCTTCCACTTCCCCTAACACACACACAGCCATTTCATTCTGTGCCTTTTCCCCAAGACCTTTTCACTCTCTTTGGTTCAAGGGTGTGTGCACAGTTCTTATTTCCCAAATGAGCCTTCTTACTTCCATTCATGGCAGGCAGCAGGTTTGGTCTTGTTTTTCCAGCAGTTAGGGCCTCTACAAAGTGCTCAACACAAAGGCTAGGGGAGAAGTCAAGTCCAATCTAGCCCTGGGAGTCTGGGATCCGTCTGGAATAAGGAATACCCTTGACACAGGCCGAGTGGTTTGTGAGGCATCGTCTCATCCAGCAGATATTCGATGACCCCGAGTGTACGGGCAGCAGCTGCTGGAGTTGTTTTTCTAGGTAGGAGTCAGGCGATTGTGAGAGGTTAGTACTTTCCCAGTTTGTCGCTGTCAGGACTTTAGTCTTTGGGCCAGGGTGGGATGAGGGGCTGAGGCTTTTCCAGTGGCTCCTTATGCATTTACCAGAGCTCCCTGTGGGCCATGTTCACAGAATCACGAATTCACAGGTTGGAGTGTTCAGAGCCCCCAGTTCTGTGATTCCCCTGGGTAAGTCAGCAAATCTGCCTTGTCTCCTGATTTCTCCATTTAGGAAACCAAGGGAATGAATATTGGTCTTTCTCCTTTTGTTTATTTTTAAAGCTTCATACTCCATGACCCCACATCTAGGACCAAACTCTGGGCCTCAGAATTGGTTCTGGATGCGTAGGTTATCCAGATTTTACTCCCTACCTACACAAAGGGCTGGAAACCCTAGGTTTAGCTCTCCCCATGGCTGTTATAAAATTTAGAATAATCATGAAGGTGATGTCAAATGTAAAGTTTGAATAAAAACGAATTCTTAAATCAGCATTTGAGAATGATCATAATGAATAACATCAATTGTCTCTTGTTTCCCCTGCGTCAGAAGACAGAAGGTTTGATTTAGAGAGGCAAACAGTGACTCAGCCTTCTTCCCCCAGGGTCTAAAGAAGACATGTGTGACCATGGACCAGGAACGCCCCCGCTCTAACCTCAGCATAAACAGCAGAACTGATCTCCGAAAGGTTTTACATCTTGAGCTTCTCTACAGGGAGAATAAGGTGTGTACTTCCTGAGGTGTGGTGTGGGGTCTGGAACAGAGTCTGACGGCGTTTGTCTGCGGTTGGCCAGCCCTAGGACTTCCCTCCTCTGCCAGCCCTGTGCTTCTGTCAGCGTGTTGTGTGTGGAGTTGTTTTGCATTTGATTTGAACCCCAACCTGTGGCTGTGCACAGCCTCCCATTGTTGTTCCTGTGTGTCTTTCTCCCTACACAAAGCTATTTTCAGTAAGACTCTACTTAAGAATATAGTGTTGAATTATACTAAAATCTATTCCCTGCCTACAGAAGATTTTCCTTCTTCCGTTCTGAGTAACACCTTAGTCTTAAGTCTATTGTGACATCTAATTGAGGCGGGAGTGGGAATTGGGTTCATCTTACCCAGGTGCTTTGGAGTCAAAGCAAATGGGACACATTTGCTCCAGTGTGGGGAGTGCTTCCTTGATCCCCAGACTCTACTCAATTATAAGCTGCTACAAGTATTCAGGGTACCTTCTAGACTTGTCACATTTGTAATAGGATATTTGCATGATTATTTAATTAATGTGTGCCTCTCTCATGATCTTGGATGCTGCAGAATGCTAGAGACTATCTCTCTTTTGCACACTATTCTGTCCCTATAATTAACATATTGTCTGATGATATAGTGAAGCATTAGTACTTTATTGTGAAATAAATGAATGAGTGGCTGAATGAATGAGTATATAAATGAATGAAGCTATAATTACAAGTTAATTGATCTTTCTGTTAGGAATAACATTTTCTAATTCATCTACAGAGGAAGTCCCCTAGCACATGTTACCTTGTGGTTGAGCATAATGTCAGAGTCAGAAAGAAACTCATAATCGACCATGTGGTTTTGCATTTACCATAATTTAAAAACCAAGGCAATAAAATGATATCTCACACAGAGCTTCAACATATAAAACAACGAAAGGGAAGATGCCCTGTTGGAAGTGGGGATAGGAAGATGGTTCTGACTACTTGGGCTTCTGGGCCAGCCCTCAGGGCCCAGTAAAACAGACTTTAAGCCACTGATGTAATGAGGACCTCCTCCTCTGTCCCCAGTGGGAAGCTGTGAGCTAGAATGTAGTGGCTCTCTGAGGTCTCAGTCAGTTACAGAATAGGAATTCAGATTCCCAACTCCATCACTGTAATTATGATCAAACTTATATTAACTGTAACTCATTTTTCAAATAACATTTTAGCAGTTTAGATTAATATAGAGATGAGACCAAGGCTATTTCTAAGACCTCTGGAGGAACCTCTAAGCCCCTTGAAATCCATCTACTGGGCCAGAGAGAAGTCCAAGCCTGGTTTCACTTCATAAATCAAAACACAGAATTTCAGGAAAATCTGTAAACCTTGACCAACAGGACCCGACCTTAATGGTACTCTTTGCTTGCTTGAAACTCATATGCTCCCTTTTGAGAAGAAAAAGGTCAAGACAGCCAGATGAAATCATCTCAGAGACTCAACAAAGACATCACTCAGCTGCCCTTTGTCCTCTGGATCTGGGATGATACTTGACACCTAAGTGTCCTGAATGCACTGATGGATGCAGTGCGAGAGGAAGAAGACTTTAGGGCCAGGCAGCGGATGCTCTGTGCCTTCTGTCTGGTAGATGCTGAGGCGGGAGTACTTCTTAGGAGTATTGTGCACAGGGAGTGAAATTGATGTCAGAAAATTTAATTAACCTTTCTGGTCTATTGAGATTTTATGGAAAATCACCTTTACTTAAGTTCCCAGAAGCACCTTTGCCATTCAAATTGTATTTATTTCCTTGCTGTAATGTAACATGCTATCTTATAATACCTAAGATATTTTTACTAGACCTTGTAAATGTTGTGATTATTTTATTTAAATAATGAAATTAAATAATAAAGTTAATAAAAGTAGTTATTAGCTGTGATACATGCCTTGGTTACTTTTCTCTTGTTGCTGAGATAAAATATTTGACACCCAAAATGAAAGAAGGAAATATTTATTTAGCTAACAGTTTTTGGAGGTTTCAGACCATACTCAGCTGGCTCCAGTGCAGGGTGGTATGGCTGAGGAGCAGCCCTTCATTGTGGCTGCAGGCAGCAAGAGTGACAGAGCAAAAGGGGAAAAGCATACTTCCTTCCCTCCCTTATATTGTATACTAGTTACCTGCCCATGGGTGGGTGTAGCACTCACACCCCCAGTCCCAGTGCTAGACAACAAACAATCATAAATGCTAGACTCAGCAGCTTCCATGACTGCATGAGGCTTTGGGAGTCACCCAGAGAAAAACCATAACAAGGCAATAAATTGGAGTATATATTTTTTTAAAAAATGGACTTACTAGTCTGTTTATTGCATAATAATTTGGAATTCACTCACCCCAAAGCCAGCATGATCCTAGGAAAGCAATTTAATGTTAATATTTTTAATAACTTGTTTTCCCTAGTAGGTATATGATAAATTAAAATGATCATTTAAAATTGAAGTTTTGAAAAACAGTATCTAGCTTCATATAAAGGCTGTGTGTCTGCTGTGAACAAGTGCTCTGAAGTCCTCTAAAGCATAATTCAGATAACTCAGGGCCATACAGCTCTTTTTTCTGAGAGAAAAATCAAGAAATTGAAATAAATTACATCTTTTCCTCATTTCTCTTCATTGTAAGCTTCCAACTTGGGTAAAATGGGCTGTTTTTTCTTTTCTGTTCTTTTTGGCCTCATGCTTAAAGAAGGGAGTAAACAAACTGCCCCTAGATCTTATCAGATGAGGCGGTGGAATTTGGTCACAGTCCACTGGTCATGATCTTGGTCAGAGTTTGGTGGCACAGATCAGAGAAATAAGAGAGGAAGGACTGGGCATGCACTGAAGCCTGCTCTTGCCAGAGGCTTTACTGCTCTTAGATTGCAAAAGTCCCTGATACCCCTTGTCTGGGCACAGCTCAGCAGAGTGAGGGGGTGGGAGGTGGGTGGACTGGGGTGGGAGGATGGTTTACTTTGTTGGGGTGGACTGAGGCATAGCAGGTCCGTGAGGCCAGTCTGGATCTTTGTTTGGATAGCTATGTCTGTACAAGTGACTAGGGGTGTGTATGTGTGTGTGTGTGTGGGGGGGGTTACTATTCTGGCTTAGAAAGATTCAAGGGGCAATGGAGGTTTTTTTTGTTGTTGTTGTTTAGAGTATAAAATGAATCAATCCTGACAGTGTGTCTTGTCCTTTCTTTCTTTCTTTCTTTCTTTCTTTTTTTTTTTTTTTGAGACAGCACAAGCGTTTCTGGCAAATCTTTTTTGTTTGTTTGTTCACTTTGTGATTCACGCTGGTTTTGAACTCACCTTGTAGCCCAGGCTGGCCTTGAACTTTTGTCTCAGCCTTCCAAGTGCTGGATGACTGCCCTGTGCCACCATGCCTGGCTTTTTATGCTTTTCATATTAACTTTCTGCTCCAGTTGTCCCTACAAATGCTGGTGTTTAACATGAAATGTGGGAGGTCACAGACTAAGAAAATATTCAGGCCTCAGATGTTTATGGAATCACAGAGTTAGTGTTCTCTATAGATCTAAATTATTTTACATGAAAGGATAAGTATTTTATAAAGTTATTTGTAGGAGAACTTGCTTGCAGATGGAATTTGCTTGGGCATTCCTCTGTGCACTTCACATTTTATTGTGATGGTTCACTGGATTGCCTGACTCATGCTTTGGATGGTGGTTCTTTCAGGGTAGGGATTTTGTCTTCATCTCTGCATCCTTACCTACCTCAGCACCTGCCTTGTGCAGTGGGTAAGCCAGTGAGAGTTTGCTGAAGGCATGTACGGATAAGTGAGAAGTCACTAAATTTATGTCAGAGAATTGTAATAGCCATCATTTTAACCTTCCCTGAAGTGGCATCGATGATTAACTATTTTTTCCATCTCCCAATGATAGGCAAAAGAAAATCCTCTAAAAACAAGCCTTGAACTCATCACTAGATACTTTTTGGATAACTCTGGAAATGTGGATAAAAATTTAAACCATGAAACTTCAATCCCTGCACTCTCAGTTCCAAAGAAAACTAACAAATTGCCAGTGAAATGTTCAGAGACCACGCTGGTGAATATATATGACCTTTCAGATGAAGATGCAGGATGGAAAACGTTACTGGCAGAAACGAGCAAGACCAGGTAACTCTTCCCACTTTCTCTGAAGAGTATCTTCCTATTGCTGCTCTAACTGAGGGGTTATAACAGCAAGAATTCTCCCAAGAAACAGAACCAATAGCATATATAGATGCTTTTTGACTTACGATACGGTTATGTCCTGATAAATCCATTATAAGTTGAAAAATCCTGTTGAAAAAGCATTCAGTTAGTTCACTTAACCTACCGAGCATCAAACCGTAGCAGCAGCACATACTGTAGAGTATCCATTGTTTCCTGTTGCCACCCTGTGGCTAAGATGCTGAAGCTTGCTGCCATGGACCAGCATCCAGAGAGTACTGTATTTATGTATCACTAGAAAAGATCAACACTCACAATTGGATGGTTTCTGCTGAATGTCTAAAGCTTTCACACCATTGTCAAATTGAAAAATGGTAAGCTGAATTACTAGAGGCTGGGTTTGCCTGTGTCTATAGATGTGTATGCACATACACATACATGTAAGAATATATAAAGAGGTTTATTTCAAGGAGTTGGCTCCTGTAGTTGTGGGACCTGGCAAGCCTGTATACTGTAGAGCAGGGCCTGATGCTGGAAATTCAGACAGGATTCCTGTTTTATAGTGTGAGGAAGAATTCCTTCTTCTCTGAGAAACCTCAGGTTTTGGTCTTAATGCCTACAGTTAAAAGGATGAGGTCCACCAATGTCATTGAGAATAGTGTGATCTGCTTTGTTTCAAGTATACTGGCTGTAAATGTCAGCTAGGATGCGAAGTGATTCTCTGTAGTTCTGGAGGTCAGGAGTCCAGAATCAGTTTCACTGAGTGAAAGCCAGCTATCTGAGGGCCAGTTCTGGCTGGAGAAATTGAGGATAAAACCCATTGCATTTCTTTTCTGGCCTGCTAGACACTTACCTCCTTCTGCTCCTGGCCCCTTTCTCCACCTTCAGTCACACCATTCAAGCTTGTCTTCTTACATTACCTAACTACTACTAAAAGAAGTTTGTTTACTTTACTTTTATCTTCTTGTCTCCTTCCGTGAAGGGCTCCAGTGATTGTACTGAGCCCACCAGACAACTCACGATGATCTTCCCATCTCAAGATGTTTAATTTAATCACAGCTACAAATTTGCTTTTACCATGTAAGGTAGTAATATATTCACAGATCACACAGATCACATATATCAGGACATGGACGTCCTGTGGGTGGGAGGTCACTATTTAGCTTCCTATGCTCTCTGCTTTAAAACTTCTGCTGTGGAGCCCCATTCTATTCTTCTAGAGAATGAACCGTTTTGTGATGGAGGCTACTGATTACTAAAATTGTATTTTATATTCCGAGACACCTAAGGTTCAGGGGCCTGCTTTGTTTGACTTTTTCAAAAAAACAGGAGTATAAAATAAGGTTCTAAAAGGCAATGAAACACTGTAGAAATGGAGGAAATCTGAAAGTTAAAGTCTCTGGAGTTCTCAGGAAGAAAATGATCTGGCATTCTTGACTGAAACTCTATTATTTGGAGAACATCAACTTACAGCTGTTGCACCCTATGGGTAGTTTCCCAAAACGTCACCCATATTGAGTTCAACTTCTGGGGAGAGGGTCATTTTTCCTTACTAGGCAGAAAAATATTTCATTTCCTGAGGGCAGCTAAAGCTCAGGGCCTGGGTGTCAAACTGCCAAGGATAGGACTGATAAAAACAGGTAGCTCAAGGAATGAAGGAGGTGGCCCCCTTCACAGGCATTTATGTGGCTGAAAAATTAAATATCTCAAAAAGCCAAAAAGGAAAAGCAGCAATGAAGAAGTTCAAGCCCAGTACTTGGGTGTCTTCCCTTATTCCTCCTTCTCTGTCGTTTTCTGTATCCTCCTCATCGGCTCCCTAGTGACACCAGACCCTCCCTTTGCTGTTGGCAAGGGTCTCATTTACATCCCCAGCCTCTCCCTGTGCACCCCTTCTCCTTAAATCCATCCCCGACATGAGACAGTGGGCGCTCCCCACAGAACAAATCTGTCAGGCTGCTCCTTCCTAACACACTGACGGGTGTTCCTGCAGCTTTTGGGAGGAAAGTTAAACTCCTTAGGGTAACTCACAAAACTCCACCTGTGACCAGTCCTGCCTGCCCAACTGGGCTCGTCCTGCTTTACAGGTCTGTCTGCTCAGCCTGGTGCTCCCTTTCAGGGCTTTCTTGTCTGCTCAGTCCCTTGATACAGGACGGCTTTCTGCAAGATGGCTCCAGCCCCTCCTGCCTGACACACCCCAATCACAGCACATGTGACATGCTCTCAAGTGCAACTCAGTCTTGGAGGGTGGCCTGGCATAGAGCAGGTGTCAGTGCTCATGCATGCAAAGGCCCTGGGGTAGAACACAACTGGGTTGTCAGGGGAGTGCTGGTTTCTGAGCAAACCTAGGTACGACTCCTCTTGTCCTGAGTCTCTTGTTTCATATCCTGGCCTCTCTTGTTCTTTATCACTGCTTGTTGGCTTTCACTCTCAACCTCTTCTTCCTCCTCCTCTTCCTATATCTCTCCTCATCTCTCTCTCTCTGACTTACACCCTCCTTCCCCCAACACACATTTTGGCATACCTGTCCAACTTTCCTGAATAGTCAGCCATGAGTCACTGTCAGATGGGTGTGGTAAAGCTGAGCCCCACATGTTCCCAGACTGTTTTGCAGAGTTCTGGTTTTCCTGGATCTCCCAGGTCTGGATAAGCAAGGACTTGAAGGAGTCTATAACAGACCATCGTTTCTGATTTTTTTTTTTTTTTTTGTGGCTTGTTTGTTTGTTATTTTGTAGGATGAAATGCTCTGATGCCAGAGCATTTTTTGTTACTTATCTTTCATCATAACACATTGACTAATTAGGAACATAAATATATATATGAGTGGGCTTGCTCTGAGTGATCATGGTTGTGGAATTTATTATCGTAATTACTGATTCCTTTTGTGGTATCTGTTTTAATGGAATTATTTCTTTTTTGCAGACAAGACAGTCTTGATGGGGATATAAATTTGTCATGCAAAAGTCCCCCACACAAGAGTAAACCTGTGCACATGGTATCAGATGAAAGCACCCCTTTGGCATCTGCGTGGGCGAAGATGGACAAGCTTCACTTGCTGGATCCTTGCACTGATGTGAAGAGGACAGGAGAGAAGACCAGGCCCAAGTCTGGCCTGATTGTCCGAGGCATGATGACTGGACCTACGGCCAGTTCCTCACAGGTGGGGCTGCTCTCTCCCTTGCTGAGAGATTGGGGTACAGGGCTACAGCACAGCTTGGTTTTCTAGGGTACCCACAGGGCAGCTCGTGAAGGGGGAATCTGTGTGTGGCATGGGAGGAGCACCTGCCTATTTCTTACCTGGCTCTCACATCCTCTCCTTCCCTGCCCTCAGTTTCCCCTTTATTTCAGTGAGATGGATGTCATAGCTTTGTATTCCTTTGCTGGGTGGAAACACATTCACCAAGTTTTTTCTCAATTCAGAAGTAAGGAACCTATTCAAATCTAGAGAACATCTTTAAAAATTTTTTTTATAAACATGGTAGTTAAAACATAGAAACCCTCACCTTTATAGTCTCACTTAGTCACTTTTCTTTCTTTTTCAAGATTTCTAAAAATGTAACATTGTTTTGTAGTCTTCTTTAAGGAGAGACCATGGTATGGTCTCATTAAATGGAGAGATTTAGCCAAGTGGAGAAAAGTGCAAAAGGAGTTTACAAAACAATAAGCACCAAAATGAAGCTAAATCAAACACAGAGTACACAACACATCCTCAGGAGCCTGAGCAAACCTATGATAAGACTGTGTGTGTTCATGGCTGCCACCACACACACAACCTGCACATGCTCTGATGAAACGTAGGTGCCAGCCCTGTTCTCCAAACTCATTTGGAATTAGGATGTAAACATGTGGGACCTCTCCTTGTCTCTGCCTCCATTCTGTGGGGTCTTTGATCGAGGTTCTTATTTCTCTTGGCTTTGGTGTCTTTGGTTAGGTGATTGTCTAAGGTCCTTAGGGTTTGGAACATCCATGCTTTTGAGATCTTGCATCTTTGTGTTCAGATCAAGGGAGAAAGCATCTACTCCTCGTTGTATAGTTCAGGCCGTGTTTTTATACCATGTCCTGTCCTAAGTGTCTTATTGTGGAGGGGCCATGAAGGACTTTCATGAACTAGACCATGTCCAGAGGAAAGCTTGTGAGGAGGGGAAAAGTAGAGACAATTGTAAGATTTGGAGATGTTTAGTTGTGTGAAATGAAGTCTTGACTGTAAGAAATTTCCTCAAACATGGGGGTAGAAAGACCTTAGCCTCCTGATGGCCAGTGTGGTCTCTTGACTGCCTTTCTGATGCTCTGCCTATGGCTCAGTGCTCTTTTTTCTATCAGACCATGGTGTGACTTCCAGATCCTCCTGGGTACCTGGAGTGGTTACTTCTGGTGGATGGACTGTAGTGGCATATGGGGGTACCCCTTTGGGCTTTTTTAGGCTGGCTGTGTTAGCTTTTGGAGAGCAGGAAGTGCATGCTGTTGGTATTAGCACATGGTGTGTGCTTGCTGGTCTTGTTGGACTGAATGGTATAGACTCGCCTGATGGCTCCAGAGAGCTCAGCTGGTCCCCATGCTGGAGGGAGTCAGAACCACTTCATCAGGACAGGTTGTTTTGGAAGGGGTGAGACTGACTGTGTCAAAGGGAAGCACTGTTTTGCGGGGACATGGTAGATGTAGTCCTGTCTGGTTGAGAGACTATAGCAGCAGCTCTCAGACTTTATAGTCTAAGAATCACTTCATACTCTTAATACAATTGCAAAGGAGTCTAAGAACTTGTGTTTGATGTTATCTATGGACATTTCCTCTATTAGAAACTAAACCTGAGAAATTAAAAATTATTTACTTATTAAACCATTAAAATACACAACCTTATTTTTAAAAAGTCTATTTTCAAAATAAGAAAAGATTAATGCGATGAATAACATTGTTTTATATTTGTTTTTTAAATCTTTTCATTAAACCAGATGTGGTGGGGCACGCCTATAATCCCAGCACTCAGGAGCAAGAATCATTGCAAGTTTGAGACCAGCCTGGCTACAAAGTGAGCTCAAGGCCAGCCTGAACTACATAGTTAGACTCTACCTCAAAAAGACAAAAAATACTCTCCAACCCCCTCTAAAACTCCCAGAAGTCACTAAAAACCTCTTCACTAACTGGCTTAGAAGAAATCAATTCAAATCTTATTTTTGTTTCAGAGTTTGGGCTATTGAAATATGGTATTTTGATGGAAGTGCATGAAGAAAGTGTAATCTCAGATAAGCATTGGAAAACGTATTTTAAAAATATTAAAAAGTAATTTAATGCAGCCTTTTCAGAAAACCAGGTGTACTCTTCTTTGATCACACCCTAAATTTAGACAAATTGTAGTTATTTAATGTAGAATCTTAAACAATATCAGTGAACATTTTGTACTTTTATCAACTTCCCCTGATCTCTCTCACACATTGAGTCTTTTATTCTTGTATAATTCAGTAACATGATATATTAGTCCTTGGAAAATATTATTTACTGAGTTATATAGATGATCCAAGTATGGATACATTTCATTTTACAAAAATAATTCTCATTTGTTCATGTTATCACCCAACTTATCAGAAAAGCTGTTAAGTACTGCAAAGCTGTCAGGCTCACAGCAGTGGACATGAATTTTTCAAAATTCTGATTTGTACCCAACAGCTTTTAGTTTTTCACTAAAAACAACACACCATTTATTTGTCTTGATACGACAGACTCAAATTATTTCTAAGAAATTTGTGCCAAAAATCCAAGTCTGAATCACCATGGTTTGCCTCTCAGTGGTTTCCATGAAAATGACAGCAAGTTCACTCAAAATCCAGATGGTTTCCTAAGCACTTACCACCACCATTCCCACTCAGCAGATGTTGGGCCTAGATTGAATAAAGTTAGCAATTCTTATGCTTCAGCATGGGCATTCTTAAGTGAAGTATGTGTTTTATGTATTCATTTTTATTGCCAGTTTATAGCAATGAAGACTATCTCAAGCTCTGGTAAAGTTTGGTATCTGTATTAGTTACTTTTCTTGTTGCTAAGACAAAATACCCAGCTCACAAAGTTAAATGAAGAAAGGTTTATTGTAGTTCACAGTTTGCAAAGGTTTCAGTTCATAGTTGCTTGGCTCCAAGGCAGGGTGGCGTGGCAGAGGGGCATCGCGGAGGAGAAACAATCCATGGCAGGCAGAAGGCAGCAATGCAATGAGCAGCAGGCAAAGGTGACAAACAACAACTCTCTTTCTGTCCTTTATATCCTATCCAGGCTGCTCACCCTTAGGGCAGGTAGTGCCCACATCCAGGATAGGGCAGCCTTAATCCTAGCATCACACACAAATCAATCCCAGCATCATATCCTTGATCCCAGTATCACACACCCTAGATCCAGCCCCTTCTGTGACCACATGAGGCTTTGAGGGCACATCAAGACACAAGCCAGAACAGCGCCACTGCCTTGATCCACATTTGGAGTCAAAAGTTTCCACTCACTATTGCTCTGCACAAAAAGCAAACATCATGATAAAGTCAAGTTGTGTTATATTATTACTGATAAACTTTTGATTTTTCTGTTGCTGTAACAAAATACCTAATTCTGGGTATTACATAAAAGACTGGGACTAATTCTGGGTAATACATAAAAGAGAGGATTGTTTAGCTCATTTGAAGGCCAAAATTCTCAGACTGGAGGGCCCTTCTGCGTGGCTTCTGGTGAGGGCCTTCTGGCTGTCTCACAATATGATGGCATCATGGCGGAAGTACATGCTGGAGGGCCAGGCTGTGTGAACAGAAGAGGGACCCAGGGAAGGTGCTAGACTCCCTTGTGGGAACTAACCCAGCGCCACAAGACCTACACTGATCCTTTTCAAGGATGCTGCCTCCATGATGTGTATGCTAGGGCCCCATCTCTCGAAGGTTTCATTGCTTTGACGCTGCCACACTGGCAACCAAGCTTCCAGCAGTATGAACCTTTGATGGACACACTCAAGTCATATCTGAACCACAGCAATGACTATGAAAATAGTTTTTAGTTCTCTGAGTGTCCAGGAACCCTGAGAGTTGTTGGGCCACACTTTGAGAACCAGTCGGCCAGATGAACACCAGGGCCCTGTCGTACCAGGAAATTCTAATCATTGTGTTTGTGCAGCTGAGACTGCCTTCATAACTGTGGTGTGAGGAGCTGACATGGACCTGCCTTACTACTAAAGGTGTTGCCACAAACCTCTCCTTTAGTCATTGTTTGAGGAGCTGAAGTTTCCCTCTGTGGCCTCTGAATCCTGTGAAGGACACTGAAGGGTGTGTTTTTGTAGAACTTACCTAGATTTTCTGGGAGGTATTTTGTGCTTTGGCCATAGCTATGGGTTGCTCAAGAGAAAGGAGCCAAAGTTTGTAAGATTTCATCATTTTTTACCACTAGATCAGCTCTGTACTTAACGATGAGGTATGAGGTAAGAGGCAGTGCTCCGTTATGCCAGAAATTGGAGTCTTTTTAGGGATAGTGACTAATGTCTTCCTTGCTTTGGGCAAGGGATGCCCTTGGCAGTGTTTGGAGCAGGTTCACAGTGCCTGGTAATTTCCACTAGGCAAGAACACTATAAAATTAGCTCTCCTCATTCCATCCTAGGCTTCCAGTGGCCCTGAATTATTTCTGGAAAAGCTGAATGGTCCTGAAATTAAAACCATGGAGAAGTTCAGTAGGTTTATTTTTGTCCCTCTATTCTCCACTGCTCGCTGTTGAGTAGTAACAGGAGATCCCATTTCCTCAATTAGTCATTGATTGGAATAAAACATTCCAGTTGATTCCTTTGGAATTCTTTTATTTCAAAAACTAAACAATGCTTAGTTGAGTGCTTAGGAAGCATAGGCTGCTGACCCGGGTGGCAGCACTGTGGGCACCAGAGATGAGTGAAGAATAGTTTGTGCCATTCCTTGGCTACCATGGGTAGGGTGGGGCCATATGGAAATGAAAATGGGGACAAGTAATGGGAGCAAGGACTGTTTGTTGAGTGCTGTGGTATGCCTGGCATCCTGCTTGCTAGTGCTTTATTTAACCCTCACTGTGAACTTGTGGGAGGTAAGTACTACATGTTCCTCATTCCCTTTTGGGCCCCAGATGTGTTTTGGAAATCTGTGGACTTCAGGATATAAGTAGAGTGCATAAACCACACGATGCATGTAGCAGGATTGGTGGTAATCTCCAGTTAACAAAAAAACACGGGGATACTTGCACTTTATAAAAACTAGAAACAACCTCACCACAGTTGAGAAGGCTTTGCCACAGGAGTCCAAAGAGAACTTTCTTTTTTCCAGGTTTTGGAGTTTAGAAATGGTAGCTAGTGGATTATGAACTAGTTCCATTACTCGGCGAGGATATGAGGGTCAGAGAAGGTAAATAGCTGCCACAGATGACTCAGCCGGCAGGGGGCGACAGGGCTTAGAAACTGGGGGAGTACTTCCCTGCCACCTGCACCTGCTCTGGGGAGGGTCATGAGAAACTGTGGGCGCTCTGAGGTTTGTGCCTTAAGGTGCATGTCAGCCAGGGCATCACAGTGGCAAGCATTTGAATGAGTCCCACAAAATACGTAGGATTTTAAGGGAAAGAGTTGGGGATGGGAACAGACATTCCTGGGTAAGCGTTGCCATGGACTAACATGTATTTCCCCAGCTTTCCTGGAAGGAAATCCTCACAATTTCTGACCTGGCTTCCACAGGTTTCTTTCTCCAAACGCTCTCTGAGACGGTCTCTGACCTTAAACAGCAAAACAGAACCCCAGGAGGAGGACAGCCGCATGGTGCCTGACCTCTCAGGTGGCACCCAAGCACATCTAGCCCCTCAGGAGGTCCCTGCTTCCAACAGTGGCTCCATCTCCAGGAACCCCCTGAGCCAGCTTAGAGAACCACCCAAGGAAAAGCCAACAACCACCCCAGACAGCTCTTCCCACCTGTCCAGCAAAGGGCTGTCCCCACGAGACAGAGCGCCATCCAGAGGTCTTTCAGAGAACGAGCCAGTGGTGGATGGCCACACCGAGGCTGAGAAGATGCCCTCAAAATTGTACTTGCCTGGCGGGAATCCCAGGTTGACCCAGGAGAGACTGGAAAGAGCATTCAAACGTCAGGGCAGCCAGCCCTCGCCTCTCAGGTGAGTAAGCTAAAGTCATGGCTTCCTACAGAGAAGCACCACCTTTCACATGCGTCCGGGCACTGATGGCTCTCATGGCAAATCTATGGAGCAGGGTTGATTAGGGTCAACCAGGAAGAGAACCTGAACTCGCACATCCCAGAAACTACAGGGAATCTTCCCAGGTCCCACTCACTTCATTCCACAGCTGAGGAAGGCGTTAGCAGATGGTCTCAAAACATATCTACAGCTACACGGACTGGCTGGCCTGGTAACGGGTTTCTAGATCCCATAGTGTGTCAGATCTGACAGAGATCCTTTCAGCATTATTTTCATTTGTTTTGCCCTGATGTAACTTTTATTCTTTCTCGATAGATCTGGATAATTCCTATGCTGATTGATAATTGAATGTAGAACCAACCTTATACTTTGGAATAGCTCCCACTTGATTATGGTAGCTTATCTTTTTATATATCATTGGATTTATTAATATTTTGTGTAGGAATTTTGTGCATAAGTCCACAAATTGGCTGGCAGATTTTCCGTTTTGTATCACCCTTGTCAGGATCTGACCCTACATCACACAAAGCAGTGCAAGGTTGGCCCTACTGCTCCCTTAAACACTGAGTTTACTGGGAAGACTTCTGAAAAGTTTTAAACGATGCATTCAATTAAAAATTATTTAAATTAGAATTTTCTATTCTTGTGGCTGTTTTGGCAAGTTATATTTTTTAAAGGAATTTGACAACTTTATCTATATTTTAAATTTATTGGCATAAAATTACACAATGTCCTCTTATCACTTTCAAGTTTGTAAAATTTACTGTGATATTTCTATTTTGTTACTGCCATCTTACCAGGAATCTATCAACTGTGTAGTATTTTTAAAGAATACTTTTTTGGCTTCATATGTTTGTTTTCTATTGCAATGATATTGATTCTTTTATTTCCTTTTACTTTCTTTAGTTCAGTGTGCTATTATTCTCTAGTTTACTCATATGGATCTTCAATAACAGATTCTCAACTTTCTTGTTCTGTAATATCCTTTAGGTCTACAAATTTCCTTCTAAATAACACTTTCTATGTACTCTACAAGTTAATAGGTTATATTTTTATAGAATTTAGTTAAGATCTTTAATCATTCCTATTATGATTTCTGTTTTGACCTATGGGTTATTTAAGTATATATTAATCTGAAGTTTTTGGGAGTATTTTCCTGGTTATTGTTTTATTTTTGATTCCTAGGTTATTTCTACTCTGATTATAATCAGTGTGATCTAAAACTATGAATATTTAAATAAAAAATTGTTGCAATAAAATACATTACCATTAATACCCCTAAAAATACTTCCCTTTGCTTTGAACACACTTATCTCATTTTCTTGGCACTCTGTGAAGCAGTTCTGGAAAGTCTCCTTTCTGAGTGTTGTTAGTTGTGCTATCATGGCTGCCTCAGTGTCCTAAATTGATTCAAAACATTTACCTTTCTTGGTCATTTTGACTTGGGAGAACAGCCAGAAGTCATACAGCACCATACCCAGTGGCTAAGGTAGAAGAGGATACATTACAGTATTTCTGTGAGCCTGGATGCTCATTGGGTGACAGTAGACAGTGGTAGTCACCTTATTTTTCATCATAATCTTAAAAATGAGAAAGGAGACTTCTGCAAGTGCTTCAAGAATTATGGAATAAATGCGTTTGAAGTGAGAGGAGTATGTTTATTAAATGATGACGTGTCTTTCACTGTACTATGTTAAAAACATTTAAGCATTCATTGTATATTTCAATTACTCTCTCTCTCTCTCTCTCTCTCTCTCTCTCTCTCTCTCTCTCTGTGTGTGTGTGTGTGTGTGTGTGTGTGTGTGTGTGTGTTTACTCTTTTTCTTTTCTTGAGATGGAGCCTTTCCAGGGTACGTTGCCCAGGCTGGTTTTGGACTCATGAAGTCTGTCATCCTCTTGTTATAGGCAAGAGCCATTGTATCTGGTTTGTCCTCTACCATATCAATTTGCTGAATTGAAGAGCCTTATGGAGTAGTCTATATTTGCATCTTGTAAATAGTATATGTTGAATCTTTAATCCATTGTGATTTTTTTATTTTATTGAAATAATTGTTACATTTATAAAGAACTCTGGTATTTTTTAAGCAGGTATATTAATTTTTTATCCAGTTTTTGTTTAGAAATGCCTTCATTTTATCACTATTTTTGAAGGTAATTAAGTTTAATGTATATGTAATTATTGATTGGTGGTTTATTGGCTTAACTCTTTAGCTATGTCATTTATTGCTTTAGAGTTTCATTATGGCTGTTTATAAGTCAGTCTGTAGTTTCATTTTTTTCTCTTTTAAAGGCAATGTATGCATTTTTAAAAATCCTTAGCATGCTCCCTCACTCCAGTTTCTTTAAAAGAGCTTTCGCTTTCTTTGATTTCCAATGGTGTGACTATAATGTGCCTTTGATGATTCTGCTTGGGGTACATACAGCTTCTTGAAGTCATAGGCTTTAAAAAACTATTGTACATTATCTTTTTAAATATTGTTTTTGTTCCATCTTATCCTTTTTTCTCCTGGCACTCTAATTACATATGTAATATATTTTTTCACTCTTTTTGAGTTCTATAGTTTTAAAATGTTCTTTCTCATTTTTCTCTCTGTACTTCCAATTTGGATATTTTCTCTTGATCTATTTTCCAATGCAGGTTTCTTCTCTTCTATCAGGCCTGATGTGCTTTAAGCTCATTTAATGAATTTTTAATTTCAATTATTTAATTTTTACATTATAGAATTTAGCTTTAACAAACATTTAACTTCTTCTTGAAATTCCCCTTTTTTATCCTTATTTTCTTGAGCATACTGTTCAGTATCATTTTAAAGTCTCCATCTAGCAACTCCGATATCTAGATTACTGTAGTTGTCTGTTTTTATTTTTAGTTTTGATCATTTTGTCCTATTTCTTTCCATTCCTGGTAATTTTGGCCAAAATCAGATATTATGAATGGCTGACTACAATAGACTTTGGTTAATGTTGCCTCCCTTAAAAAAGAATTTAATTTCTTTTCAGTAGACATTGATTTCTTATTAGTTTTGACTTTGTAAAATACCTTTTCTCATTCTGTGTCTAACAACTTTCTCATGTCTTTTATTGAAATATAAACATCATTTTGGCATAACCAATCTCTCTTTTGGTATATGATTTAAAATTTTTTAAAGTGTTCTTTATTATGTTTTTTCTTGATTTTAGTTCTTAATGATATTTTCTTTTTTCTATTAACTTCCTAGTCCTAACTTTCACATTTGTGTATTTAATCTTTTGTATCTGTTGGGATGAAAAGTTCAATTTTTCTTTTTTCTTTTTTAGTAATAAGACAGTTTTCCCAGCACCATCTAACCTACAGTCTGCTCTTTCCTATTGATTTATGAAACCACATTTCCTCTTCACTGCGTTCTCACATAGACACATAGGTGGCTTGGAGCTCTCTGGTTCACTGCATTGACTTCCCTCCCCCCTCATTTCCTCCCTCAAAGCCACAAGCCCACACTTCTGATTCCTATGGCCTTGACTCCTTCTCCCCCGTGCTTTCAGGCTTGGCATAGCTCTCTACAAGTCTATTCTTTCTACCAACCTGTTTTGTTTCTGTTGACCCAACCCCTGTAGCTTGTATCTGCTTGACCTGTTTGCTGTGGCAGCCCTGTTGTTCCCAATTGTCTCACTGCTGTCCCTTCCCTACCAGTACAGATGTCTCTTTGGCTAACTTCACCTCCATGCTATCATCTCTACCTTGTTTTATTGTTTTCATAACACCTGCCTCTACCTAGAATCTTTCAGTTATTTTTTTTGTCCATTTTTTTTTTTTTTTGCCTTCTTACAGTATAAGATAAGTTTCCCAAAGCAGAGACCTTTATATGTATGTGAGGAGCAGGGCCTTGTGCCCAGAAGACATTCAGAGAATACTGCTACGTGCTACTCCTGTTGCTACTAATGACAACATAAGCATCAAAAGGATGCAAAAACTTTTGATATTAGCCTGTCTTTATAAAATGCGATTCTAAGCCTTTTAGGAAAATTTATTCTTTTAATTTCATAAGGTTTCTGTGAGGGCAGTACTATCATAACTCTTATTTTACAGATGAGGAGACACAGAGAAGTTACTTTATTTGCTCAGGTTTATACACTTAGTAAGAAACAGAACAGGCACTCGAAGCCAGAAAACCAGCTCCAGAATTTGCTGACTACTTGAACAAATGTTGTCTCCTTCAACCTTTAGTAAAACTCCACGGCCTTTCGGTCATGACTGGCTTCAGTTTGAACACCTGCAGTGTTGGGAGCTCACTTTTTCTGCAGCATCACTGTGTGATTCCGAGTGTTAAAAAATCTTCACATAGAGTTGACAGCTGCTTGCATTTAGTTTGACTGAGAGAGTCTAGCTTTCCCCTTCACTGCCAGAAGTTTGCTCTAGAAAAGTGGAATTATCACAAGTGAAACATGAGAGTGCATTCTAGGCTATCATAGTCTGGTGGAGTGACCCAGAAGGGAAATGGAGAAGGGGCTGCAGGATCGGGGGCTCTAAGCCTTGCCGTATCTTCACTTCATCCTCACTTACTTGTCAATTCTGGGTCATGATGTGGATATGCAATGTTTTTGAATGGCCATTGTCCACTGTTGAAGGCTGTTGTTGAAGGCTCTGTCCCCAAGTAATGGCTCTGTTGGGAGGTGATGGAACTTTCAGGAAGTGAGGTCTAGTGGGAAGAATTGAGGTACCCTCAAGGAGGATATTGGGACCCCAGATCATCCCTTTGCCTGTCTGTGTCTCTGGGAGTAGTTCTGAGTGAGGACAACTCCTGTAACAGCTTCAGCAGGATGCCAAGGCCAGGCCAGTCACAGAGCTCAAAAGGACCCCATGAAGCAGCTCACTCCTCACTTCTATGGGCATCATGCAGACAGTGCCCAAACCATAGGCCACATGGTGGCCAAACAACAACAAAAAACCCCACTATCTCAATAGGAAGTAGCATGGTGGACCA